AATGATTAGACTATTTAAAATCCCACCAAGGTGGAACAGACCACCATGAGCTGACACTCAAGATCCGGGTCTGGGGGAAAGAGACAGAAAATGGAACTCAGGAGGGTGAGGAGTCAGAACAGGCGTGGTCCAGCGACACATTCACGGGAGCAGATGGAGCCCTTGCTCTTTGCAAGGCTTGGTCAGAGAACCCCTAGACAGGCCTCATAAAACAATCAGAAGAACGTACAAAAAAGAAAAGAAATGCCCCCAGTTTAATAAATGAAGGACACGTTATTTAGAGAAGAAAAAGCAGAGATACCCAAGAGGTGTGAAAAATGTTAAACCTCACTCATCATTTAAGGAATGAAGAAAAACTACAATTAACATACCACTTTTTCTAGCAAATTAGCATAGATGTTTTTAAACTAACACTTGATTTTAGAAAAGGTGAGGTGGGACACTCACACTTCCTGTCTGCGGTAGTATAACTCATTACAACCTTCCTCAAGATAGTTTGGAACTATATCAAGTACATTAACACCCTTCTACCTAACAAATATTTTTGCATCTTTTTCCGACTCAGAGAGATGCACAGTGAGATGCACTCAGAGAGATACATTGATATGGTTACATTACTTCTAATGAAAAATTGGAAACAACTTTAATATCTAACATGAAGGGAATAGTAAAGTAAACTATGGAACATCTATACTAAGAAACTATGCTTTCAAAGACTATTAATGATAAAGGAAAGGCTTCATAATATAATATTAAGTGGAAAAAAGCTTAATATTTTAGAAATGGAAACTATTTCAGAAATAGAAATATTTAGAAATGCAAATCTGAATTTGCATCACATAGAGAAAAGAGAGGCTAAACACCAAAAAGTTGGCAGAGCTTCTCTGGATGGTGGAATTATACTTGATTTTGGAGGCAGGGGGATTCTTCAGGGTTTAGGAGGGTTTGTTTGTATATTTCCCAAATTCCTTGGTAGCAAGTCTTGAGATGGAAAATAGCCACAAGGAAGATTTCAGCATAACACCAGCCCTCCAGTTTGTTCCCATTCTCTTGACTTCTACCCCCACAGGAATACCTGCCCCTTCACATACAACACACACCCACCAACAAGTAGAAAGGGAAAAGTTGAACAGGGAAAGCATCCAGAGGGTGGGGGAGGGGGAAACCACTGGAGAACAAAGCTCCAGAGGCAGAGCAGGGCAGGTTTCCGTCCTCCCAGGGGCCCAGCATAGCGGCTTGTCGTACTGCACAGACAGCCCACTAAAGTGAGATGAAGTGAACTTGGTGCCTTCCTTGTCTGTGAGTCATTCAGGGAGAGTTTACGCAGATAGGAAATGACAATAAATGGTGGTGGTTTTTTTTTTTTAATTTTATTAAACAAAGAAAATAAGGCTCTATAATTCAATTCTTAAATGTTAGCAAGCCAAAAATTATTTGAGGTCCATTTAAAATGTGGATCCCATGCCTTCTTTCCGACAATTCTGAATTAGAAGTTTGAGAGTGGAGCAGGAATGTACATGTTTAATCAGACACCACGGTAATTTTGATGTAAGGGTTCAGTGAGTCGGACTTTGGGAAACATTGCTCTGATGAATCGCTATCCAGGCTATCATGTGAAAGATCTTTAAACTCCAGTTTATCGTATTTAAAAACAAAACAACCCTCTAAGATAGTATGTTCGCATTTTTGTTGTTGTTGGAGAAATTATATCTTTAAAAGGGATATTTATGAAGTACCAGCTGTGAAACTCCGATGGGATGGACAGTTTTACCCTAATTCACAGATACAAACATTATCCTCACAGTAGTCTACTAAACTGACCACACACCTAATTAAGTAAGATAGTCAGGAACCAAACTTCTGAGCTTCAGATTCCTAACCCAATGTACATGCCGATTCTAGATGTCTAGGAAATCAGCGAAACGCAAAATACTCTAAAAATTAAAATGGGCAACTTCTACATTTACTGTTTTTACCCTGTCAGATTTCAAGAGTCGTATCCTAGACATTTTTATTTTATCCTAGCATAATAATTAACTCAATATAGAGTAGAACAGTGAATTACTTGCGTTGTATCCCAAATGTTTCTTCCCACGTTTTAGTTATTCTGTGCATCGTGATGAATATGTTTGTTACCTTTGGTTAAGTTAGAAAGCATACTTCCTTCTTTTTACCTTCTCTCCTCAATCCCACCTCCATATCCTCCTCTTATTACACACATCTTCACAAATGATTAGAGAATAAGCCAGAGCTCTCGATCATACTTAGCACTCAGCAGTATGTGCCCCAACTGCATGCACATTTCCATGCTGAGAAAAGAACTTGGCTTTACATCTCTGTGTCCTTTCTCCACCTACTACCTAAATGCTGGTAGCCCTTCGGTTTCCATCTTTCATCTTCTTTTGAGCTTATTCCACAAGTTTCTGTGACTTTCACACTTCTGATTTTGTGTACTAACGATTCCCAACTCTGTGCCTAAGAGGCAGAGTGGAATTGTGGTGAAAAGCCCAACTTCAGGCCTGAGGAACCTAATGTCTTCATCTCAGAACATTGGGAAGCCGTGGAAGGGTTGGGAGGCAGCAAGTAAAGGTGAAGAATTAATCATATCTGCATTATAAGAAGATCCGTCTGATTGCCTGTAGCAAATGGATTATAGAGAGGGTACTGTGGAGAGTGTTCTGTGGGTCTTTGGTGGACTAACCCAAAGACACGGAAGACATTTAAAGAGTGCTGTAGACTGAATGTTTCTGTCTCCCCACCCAAATTCATATGTTGAAACCTAATAACCCCAAAGGTGATGGTATTAGGAGGTGGAGCCTCTGGGAGGCAATTAAGTCACGAGGATGGAACCCTCATAAATAGGATTTAATGCCCTTATTAAAAAAAAAAAAACAAAACAAAACACCCCATAGAGCTCCCTAACTCCTTCTGCCATGTAAAAATGTGGCCAGAAGCCATCACCTCTAAACCAAGAAGGGGGTTCTTACCAGACGCCAAATATACCATCCTCTTGTTTGTGGACTTCCCAGCCTCCAGAACTGTGAGAAATACAAGTGTGTTTGTATGTCACCCAGAGTAGGGTGTCCTATTACAGCAGCCCCAGGGTTAGTAATGGGGAGAGAAGGGAAAACCTAGCTCGCTCCCAGGTGTATGGCTGGAAGCACAATGTGCATGTTGAAGCCATCGACTGACGGGGTGCCTAGAAGAGGAACAGATTTTGAGGGAAATACCAAAATGTCGTACTGGACATGTGGAGAGTGAGCTGACTGATATCTGAAGGAGGGGAGGCCAAGAAGACCATCAGATAGTTGAGTCTGGAATTCAGAGGAAGTATATGGAACTGAATTATCAAGGCTATTATAAGATTTCACCATTAGGAATGATTCTATGTCACTGGCTGCTGTTCTTAGGCAGATGTGCCATAACTCGAAACCCTATGGAGAATTGAAAATCAACCTTAAAAGGGAAAAAAGTAAAGATGCTTCTAGCCAGAAAGGGACTTAGATAATTTTACCGAGGAAAGGAAATGATAGCGGGAACATTAAATCTTGCCAAGGAAAGGATACCAAAAATGCCATTTTTATCACTACCTTATAATTTAGTTGACCAAAATGTGGAATTGTCGGAAGATCTGAACTCTGGTCCTGTTCCTTCATGTTACCGTCTGGGTATCCCTACACAACTTCATTTCCTCATCAAAAAAGCATGAGTATTAAATGACAAAAAATATCTATAGCCTTTTGTCAATCTAAAACAAAAATCCTTACGTACATTTCTTTATAGAAGGCTCTGGGGATGCGCATCGTTTCTCCCCAGGTTCCAGAGTCCCATGGCACGTACAGTGCTAGAGTTGGAACCCTGAGATCCTCTAGCAAGGACTTTTCAAATATTTTTATAAAGCTTAGAAGATGCACTTAATGTTCTTAATTATATCTTGGGTAGCACCCTAAAGTATAACATTGATCAGTGCCAGGCTACTCCAAGTGAAGAGAGGAAGAAGGCCTAGAGCTCTGCCTGTGGGGCCTCATCTCCCAAGGCAACTTCCAGGGTAAACCAGTTTACCCCAGAGTCCAGTTCTGTGGTTCACAGATGAGGAAACAGAGGCCCTGGGTCACATGGTCAGTAGCTGTGGGGCCAGGAACCTGGCCTTCGTGGTCCCTAGGCCGTCATCTTTCCATCACGCTACACAAAATGCAGCAAGAGTGGAGAGGAAAAGAGTGGGAGCTTCACCTCCCAGTCTTCTGGTGTCCCCTTTGTACCTGGGTTGTACCCACCAGCCCACATGCCCCTTCTTTGACAGTCGTCCCACCGAGGCATACAGGCTGTGGTACCAGCGTGGGCAGCTGGAAGAGAATGGAATTCAATGGATATAACAGGAGGATGCTGAAGAAAAGCTGAGAGAGCTGTGAGAAAGGACAGATCAGGGGAAATGGTTGACAGCAGAGAATGAGAGTGTGGCCCCTCTCATGACGCACTCTGGTTAACAGGGCTCGGGAAATTCCGGGTATGAAATAAAAACACAGTCATATATTCAACCTACTAAATCCTTGATTATTGCAGAAAGGGATTTCGGAAAGAGAACACACTACCTTACTGAGTTCATAGGTATAGAGGTATGTGTAAACATATACAGACATATATGTATATTCTTTCTGATAACCTAGAATATTTTCCCCTAAATTTCTCTTAAGAATAAGATGGGCAGAGGATACATCACACCTGACTACCTAGATTCCAATTCATCCTAAAGTAATTTGATTAAATTTGCTCATTTAGATCAAGGGTATCTATTCAGGAGATACCTGTCCAAAACCAACTAAATGCTTAAAAGGATTATTAGGAGCCACTAGGAGAAAGGAAAGACAAAATACTATAGATCACTCTATTTGTGGGGCAGTGGAAAAAGGAACAAGGAGAAGAGTGTGGAGGATTTACTAGTGTCTAGGCTAGATGTGTCCTTTTGGAGGTTGTCTTGGATACTTTGTGGAATGAGGTATATTACAAATAAATATTTGCTGTCAAATACTATCCATCCTTGGGGAGGGGCATGCTAATGTTCTCTGTATCACTCCAGTTTTAGTATATGTGCTGTTGAAGCAAGCATTCAAATAGTATGCATCCCAAACACGTACAGAAAATCTGGAAAGACCTTTTGGAAGTCAGTTGGAACAAAGGTTCAAAGAAAAGTGAACGAGGAAGGGACAATTGCATTATATCATAGCATTAAGATTCTGCTTCAGGGAAGGAAGCCTGGTTTTTTTCCAGTCCATGGTATGCATGTGGATTTTTAACAATACTTGCTAGTCCTGATCTTACCAAATAAATATAAAACATCTGCTAATATCTCCAGCACCACTAACCCTCCCCTTCAAGAAAAAAGAGAAGGAAGGGAAAGAACTTAGTTTTTCACCATCAGTCTTATTTGGATGAATCTCTTCTCTGTGGAAGATGTTACAACTTCAGTATAAATGAGGCAAATATCCCTTCGTGAAGTGTCACCACTGAAAAAGTAGGAACTGTGTTTGGAACCCACCGATCTATAGCTGGAATCCTCCCAGTAACGTTTTAGAATTTGTGGTCTACTTTCCATACATGTGGGAAAATGAATCTTATACCCTGTTAAAATTCAACAGGAAATTGAAACCGCCATGCCTTGTGGCATACTGCATGTTTCATTCTACTCGTCATTTCAAAGTGCTTTTCATCTTTAATTTCCTTGGGAGTGTGCATAGTGGGGTAAAGTTGGTAATTACCCAGACAGACTTTAGGTGTTAAATATTATTCAAACAAACCCAGTAAATGGCATCTACAATAAAGAGCAGGGAAACAAAGAGATTACAGTGTTTCATTCCAACCTGACACCCTCAGGAGAACAGAGAGCACAAGGCAAACCCCTAAGTATTTATATCCTCCCCGAGCTGTACTGAGAAAGTTCACAGGAAGCAGTTAAAGACACAGCAACTAAACCCAGCGTTTAACTGGATTTCTTTGGAATCTTGCTGTTTTGTGCAATTAACAGCCAGATGGAAAATATATCATTATTAGTCAATCTTGACTTTAATAGAGTTTGGTTTTTAAGGCCACTCTTCTGCCGCGTGTACCTCGGAGAAATCTCACAAAGACAGTCTTCCTGGAGGAACGGTATGGCTCAGCTGCTTGATCCCAGGGGTACAGACACAGTTCACTGCCATGTAAGCACAGGGTCCCCGCCGGGTTATGCCTCCCCAGGGACCCTGTGGGGTGGGGAGGGACTCAAGGAGAGGCCCTCGCTATTGTTAAAATGGAGGCAAAGAATGTTGTGACACGGGGGCAGCAGCCCACCGGTCCTTGTGTAGGACCTACATGGATACAACCTGGTGCTGGTAGGTGCTCGCAAGAGAAGGTGAGCCAGACGGGCTGCGGCTGCTGCTATGGGGGACTTTTGCCTTAAAGCCGCCCACCAGTAGGCTCCCCTGAGTGTCCCTTTATCCCCTCCGTTTCTGCCATCCTGAAGCCCGTCAGCTCCTGGGCCACCTGGGAGCCTACCAACATGTCCAGTTAGAAATCATGCCTTCCCTCCTCGCATTTCAGTCACCCTGTTTGCCCATCTTTACTGGCCTTTCAAACTTGCTGCCTGTCATGACCGGTAGCGTACATGTCTGTCTCTCTCACTCGTTTGCGTGTTCCTGGAAGGAAAGATCAAAGATTCGTATTGTCTTCCTTTCCCACATTAGGGCCTCAATAATAACAAAATGACATTTACTGAGTACAAATAGGTTGGGCACATGACTTACTTCATTTGATGCTTACAACTGTGTCCCCCTAATGGTAAAGAACATGAGCTTTCAGCCAGACCCCCCGTGTTCAAAGCCACCTTCCCGTGCTGTGAACCCCACAGCCCTGAAGCAGGTGGAACTTGAACGCAGGTCTTTGATTTACATCCTCAACTCTCTTCTACCTCAGTAGGTTTCTTTTATTGAACTAGACCCATTCGCCGGTAGCCAAACTCATTATTACTCCTCATCACTAAGCAATCCCAAGGCTTTCCCCACGAATTTGTGACTTAACATACATAGATTGTTAGAACTATATAATGGATAGTGATTTAGCTAATCATATGGGTAATAGTAATTCTTCACATTTCTTTAGTATTTTGCCGTTTTCACAGTCCTTTCACACAAATCCTCCCAACTGAGCTTCACTGATCCCTGGTAAGACAGACAGGATGGCTGTCGTTTTCCCCCTTCGACGGATGAATGTGCTAACACTAAAGAAGCTCAAGGTTTCACCATCGCCCTGGGGCCAGAGATTCAGGTTGTCAGGTCAGGGCTGCGATTGAACTAAGACGCTCTAATTCCAGCTACAGGGTTCTGGCCTCTACCTTGCCTGGTCCCTCAGCACCACTTACGTGTGTACACACATACTCACTTGAGGGCACCAAGATCCAGGTGCTGAGCTAGAGCCTTCCCTGGCTCAGGTAGTCTGGTAACCATAGCAATTGTCGCTCTCCTCGTGGCAAATGAGATCACCCAGCACTGACTCTCAAGGTTTGAGTTAGAAGAGATGAGGCATTTTCCACAGAGGGCCATTAAGTTTGGAATTCCCTTCCCCTGGTCTGACCTAGCCCTAGGGTATTGGTCTTCTGGGTCTTAGCAAACCACATCAGGTTGAGTTAGCCAGCTGTGACTGGTAAGAAATCCTAATGGGCAGGAAGAAAGCGCTAAATTGACTTTTAGTTGTGAGCAATTTGCAATTTTGTGTTTTTTGCTGTTTGTATCCCTTAGGATAACTAACGAGCCACACATAGTTTTCATTCTTTAAAAATACGATTTTAGTCAGCCGTTCGCGTGCTTTTGTTTCTGTGTTCTTACATCATGTCGCACATGATGTGATGGAGAAACCTATAGGGAAGTTTTTGTTTCTTTTGCATAAACTATTTTGCAGTAATTGACCAGCCACAGAGAAAAGATTATCTCCTGTGCACTCTCAGTGAGTTCTCTGGTCACCAGAGACCAATAAGCTCTGTCCCTGGAACTATTATCACTTTGTTGAAGAAGCTGCTATGTGAACAAAAACCAGCCTTCGTTAATTTCCCTTTTCGTATTTAAAAAACCTTGTCAGTATTTTCCCTTTGGGAGTATGTAATTTGTCAATAGTGCGTATTATTTTAGTTCTAAAGAGGAAAGATACACGGCAGTAGATTCCTACTAATTTCTTAGTGCCAGATCTTAGTGTTTCCACTCAATGAAATATAATTCTCCACATTTTTAATCATATTATGATATACACATCTTAATTTTAACTGCAGAGAAATATAAAATTGTAGAAATGTAAAACACGGGGCTCCTGGGTGAGTCAGTGGGTTAAAGGCTCTGCCTTCGACTCAGGTGGTGATCCCAGGATCCTGGGATAGAGCCCCACATTGGGCTCTCTGCTCAGTGGGGAGCCTGCTTCCTCCTCTCTCTCTGCCTGCCCCCTGCCTATTTGTGATCTCTGTCAAATAAATAAATAAAATATTTTTAAAAAAGAAATGTAAAACACTTGTGAGACAAATTTTAATTCCATACCACTTGCAGTACACACACACACACACACACACACACACACACACACACTATTTAACTGATAGAAGAACTGATTGGTGCTGTGGTTGGCCTGAGCCCACATAGTAGTGTGGAATCAGGAGCTTATATTAAGCTTACTCTAGTGCTCTTTCCCTCGTAGCCTACAGAGTGTTCATATGTTTTAGATCTCCAAGTGCTTCGTAAGCCTCTGAAAGCAGATTTGATCCTTGTATGTCCTCATTAGAACTGCTCGATAAGTGCCTGTTAACTAATGTGGGACTTGGTCGCAGGGTCACAGGAGCCTCGGATATTACACATTCCTTCGATTATCTGGTCATTTTGATTCAACCTCTCCTGTAGATAGAAAAAGTTGGGGAATGGTCAAGTGATCTTTGATAGAAAGGAATCTGATTACACTTGACCATCGTTGCTTCTAGACATCTCTACTGAAGTTGAAAGTTGTTTTAAGGAATAGTCTCAGGAATGTCAAGTTATTTATCAGTGGTTTAAATTATCTCACATGTTTGGTAACCAGGCTCCTATAACATGTTATTCTTTTATCTTAAAAAACAAACAAACAAAAACACTTTGTCTATTATTTCCAGCAATGGAAAAGGAACTTAGAGCTCACCTTCAAAATGAAAGAGTAAACATTACAAGTCAGCCCCTTGACTATCAGTTTATTCATTGTGGCTTTTTGTGCTGTGGGAGGAGTTGGTCCAGAAATTATGTGCCCTGTTATTAATTTTTTAATAGTCTACTCACTATAAACAATTACAGTTTGTTTCAGTGTTGGAAGGGGTGTTATCTAAGCTGTCAAGATATGATGAAGGCACTTTCTTTTCATCCATTCTGTCATTCACTGTAAGTATTTGCATGAGGTTCTCTTCTGTTGTCTTTTGACTGTTGTCAAAGTACTTATCTAACAGTTAAGAAAATAATTCTCATAATTATCTCTTTTCCACTTAAGGTGAAAGCAGCTGCAAAATATGTGGATGTTCCAGTGAGTATTTTTTTTATTTGCTTTTAAAAACTATGTGTGTGTGTGTGTGTGTGTGTGTGTGTGTGTATAATTCTTTTTTAAATAATTATGGTTTACCAAAGGTTTATTTCAGATCTTTAAAGCAGTGAGTTCCATTCCCTCGGGGAGCAGTTTATTTTCCTTAAGCAAGTGCTAACCCTCATAAGAAGGCCTGACATGATCATTTCAGTGTACTTTTTCCATTTTAGCTTGGGAACTCTTATGGAGGTAAAGTTATTATGAGAACATGTCAGCTCAGTTGCAGAGGGTAGTTTTTTCTAATACTCTAGGACTGGGTAGTGAATGCCTCGTACTATTTATAGAAAAATGCTCACTCTCTCTTCCCTTTGATTGGAAGCAGTAACAGGTTTCTAATAGGAGTTAAAGTGACAAAAAAGATGAACCAGTTAAAAAACAACTTTTCTAAATACAGAAGTGTTATAAGTCAATATTCACTTGTCTTAGCATTTGGTGTTTTACACAGTTCTTGGGAAATAATTTGTAACCTGTAAATCTGTTCAAAGATTAAGATACCATGAG